ATGAGGAAGTGGGTCCAGGAGCGAGTGCTGGGAGCACCGGCAGAGGAGGGGACGGGATGGAGACTGAGAAGCAAAGCCCTCGAGGGGTTGTGGGGCAGGCAGCGGAGATTCTGGAAGCCATATGAGAGTGTTTCAAGGAGGACAGAGGGCCTATGAGATGCAGACCCACCCGGGAGCCAAAGAAGATGACGACAGTGACATATGCTTGGATTTGGCAACTAGAGGCATTACCAAGAGGGACAGAAGCGGGACTGGTCACAGGCAGCTGGGAGCCTGAGAGGGAGGGGGTTAGTGTGAGGAGGCTCTCCAGGTGCTTCCCACTGTGGAAGGCGGGGAGGCCACAGAAGGAGGGCTGGAGGTGACTTTGGGGTTTGGGGTGGTGGTGGGCAGATGTGCAGTTGTTTGCTTATTTCTCAGGGGAAAGATCCCAGAATTGAAATGACTGCAACTCTCCCTCCACAATGCCAGAAGTCCTCTAAGGGATGTTTCTAAATGCAAATCTGGTCTTTTTTTTTTCTTTTTATACAGATGGGGTCTCACTATGTTGCCCAGGCTGGTCTCAAACTCCCGGGCTCAAGTGATCCTCCTGCCTTGACCTCCCAAAGTGCTAGGATTACAGCTGGGCCACAGCTCCTGGCCACAAATCTGGTCTTCACCCTCCCCTACTCAGAATCCTTTCATAGCTCCCCATTGCCCTTGTGAAAGAGTTCCAACTCTTTCAGATGGCCTCAAGGCCATGCATGAACTGCCCCTCCCGGGCCTCACCTGCCTCCACTCCCTCTCCTCCCCACTTTAGTTCTTTTCGTCTTTAAATGCTTCATGTCTTTATCACCATTAGACCTTTGCACATGCGGTTCCCTTTGCCTGCGACACCTTCTCCTCTTCACCTTTACCTGGCAAGCTCCCACCATCCCCAGCTTAACCATCTGTTTCTCAAGAAAGGAGCTCATTTGGAAGAAGTTAATGATGACTGGGAAAAGAAGGACATTCCTGCAGGAGGTCTCTGAGAAGGGCTGGTGCTGGGAGCACTGAAAAGTTTCGCGAGCTGCAGAGGTTGGTGGGCTTGGGGGTGGGGGGCTGAGGAAATTCCCATCAGAGCGTTGGTAGAGTGGGAGAAGAGGCCCTCGGCGGGGAAGGGGGTGCATGCCATGGCCACCTTGGCCGATTGTTTTCAGAGAGTGTCCAAGGGTCCCTCATATGTAGAGAACACTACCCTCAGCCCTAAAGGCCAGCAAGTGGCCCAGGGTCACCAGCTATCAGTCAGTCCCAGTGCTGGGGCCACGTGTGTCCCGAGCCTGCCCAGTGCTGAGCGTCTCCAGTCCGCTGTCCCCTGACAACGCTGAGTCTTGCTGTGCCTCACAGCCCTGCTTGGCTACGTGCTGCCAGGGGATGCGAAGAGGGTCTTGCCCGAGTCCTCCCAGCGCAACCCCACCCAGCAGACTCTCAATCTGCGCCACCCCAGTCCCAGTGGAACAGGGGACCTCTGGCTCTGCCACCGGTATGCCTGCTGTTGGGGACCTTCCCTTCCTTCTGGCCATCGGGGATGCAGTGTTCAGGGGGCCTGGTCTTGGGCTTGAAGTGGCTGGATCCACGTGGGCCCGGGACTCTGGGGCACCTGGATGGTGTGCAGAGGCGATGAAAGTGAAAGTCTGGGCGGGCAGGTCTCACTTTCCGTTTTGACCCTTCTTCTGGGAGGCCCTTTCCTTTTGCCCCTTCCTGTGGCTGCCTGGCCTGGAGGGCATTGAACCTCTTCTGTGGGTAGGCAGGAGGCGCTGTGGGACACAAGACCCACCCAAGTGGGGTAGCCTGGGCTCTGCAGGCCCCAGGAGGGGTGGCCCCCACGAGCATCCAGAGACACAGCTTTCCCTACCCTGCACCCATCACCTGCTCTTCCTGGCCCACCTGGAGGCTGTCAGTCTCTTTTCAGGACCTGGACCATCGAGATTGGAAAGACATAGGGCTTCTCAAACTAGCTCCTGCCAGAACGGGGAGGCAGCAACTCGTTTCAAATGCACACTCATGCCCTCCATCCCAGACCTGCAGAAGCAGACTTTCTGGGCAGGATGCCCAGGAAACCGAATTGTAATGAGTTCCCCCTGAGGGGTTCTGACACAGGTGGTCCAGGGGTCACACTTATTTCCTTAAATTTTAGGAGTTCCCACTTACTGACTGCTTGTCACAGTGCTGGGCCTGGCTAAACACTTTCCTGAAGTGTCTCAATTGCTTCTTACAACAGCATATGAGGTTAGTAAATTGCCCTGTTTTAATATTAAGACTGAGGCTCAGAGAGGTTAAAGCCCTCTAACAAGGTCACAGAGCTAGTGGGTGGTGGAACCAGGAGCCAGACTGTCTCTCTCTGCTCCTTAGAGCCAGGGAGCCTAAGCAGTGCCCACACTGCCTGCCGACAGCTACACCTGCACTTTGCGGGTTCTTGGTGGGGTCTCTGACCTCCTAAAAGTGAATGTAAATCTCATGTCTATGCATTTTTTTTTTCTGGGGTTTGCAGCTTTCATTAAATTGTCAAAGGATATTTGAGATTTGAAAGAGATCAAGCTGCTCAGATTACTCCACTCCTTTCTGTATTTATGGAACTGAGGCTCTGAGTGACAACCCCCCCCACTCCCCACACCTCTGCTCTGCTGTGGGCACAGAGCTGGGCACCCAGCCAGCATTGACCAGAAACTGGAAGCACCGTTCCTGATGTGTACCTGTTGGGAGGGCTTTCTTAGTGCTCCTCCTTTCCCCCGCCCCAAACTCCAGCAGCCACTTGGCTCTGGTCCGTCCATAGCTGCAGCTGGGATTCAAACTCAGGCCTGTAAGGCTCTGAAGCACAAAGCATTTCATACGATTAAATACAAGAGTCATAATTACATCTAAGCAGGAGTCTTGAGGGTGTCAGATGATCCTTTCATTTTTCTAGGTTGCAGAGGGAAATAATTAAGAGGTTGGGGTCTGCAGCCAGACTGCTTGAGTTCACATCGCAGCCCCACCACTTGCTAGCTGGTGACCTTGGGCATTGGCCTCCACGTCCTCCCTTGTTAAACAGCAACACCTACTCCATGGGGTTGCTTGAGGATGAAAGGTGATGCAGGGAAAGTATTTTGCACACTGCCTGGAGTGAGAACTCAATAAAGGAGTGGTATATTTTTGTTGTTGGGTCAGAGTGTAGTGAGGTAATCCTGGAGGGAGGAGGGAGCATCTTGAAGGATTGATCAGATCATCAGATCAGTCTTACAGATGATGGGGGCATAGAGGCTTTCTTTCTTTCTTTTTTTTTTTTTTAAACATGGTCTCACTCTGTTGCCCAGGTTAGAATGCAGTGGCACGATCTCCACTCACTGCAGCCTTCGCCTCCATGGAGGCTGTTAAATAGGGGAAGACACCCTCAGAGGTAGAAGGTGTTTTAAATGGGGCAGATGGCAGCACCACTAACCGGCCTGGAGGACTGCAGGCTCCCTGCACTCTGCTGAGTCCTCGCACTTTATTTTTTATTTTTATTTTTTGAGATGGAGTTTCACTTTTTTTTTTGAGATGGAATTTCACTCTTGTTGCCCAGGCTGGAGTGCAATGGCACGATTTCGGCTCACCGCAACCTCCTGCCTCCTGGTTTCAAGCGATTCTCCTGCCTCAGCCTCCCAAGTAGCTGGGATTAAAGGCATGTGCCATCACTAATTTCGTATTTTTAGTAGAGATGGGTTTCTCCATGTTGGCCAGGCTGGTCTCGAACTCTCGACCTCAGGTGATCCACCCGCCTTGGACTCCGAAAGTGTTGGGATTATAGGCATGAGCTACCACGCCCAGCCTGCCCACTTTGCTCTTCACATTAACTGTGAAGGGACAGGCCCTAACTCATGATGGTAAGTAGTTAGGAAGCAGCTCCTTCTGGTTTTGGAGGTTACTGGCAAGGAGGTTATAACTCATGGCCTTTTCTTAACGCTCCGTCTGCCTGAATGCTTCCCCCAGATAACCAAATGGTCCACTCCCTCACCACCTGGCATATTTTTTCTTTTGTTTTTTTTCTTTTTGCTTTGAAGCTACTGCGAAATATTTTTTCTTTTATCTGGTGTCTTCCGGACCAGAAGGTCAGCTACATGAGGCAGAGGTTTTGCTCATTGCTGTGCACCCAAGGCCTAGCACAATGGCTGGCACACAGTAGGTACTCAATGGACATTTGTTGAATGAATGAGGAGGAGGAAGTTGGCGTGGAAGCTGAAGGGTATTTTGTCCATCCCCCAACTCCAGTGCTGGAATGGATGTCTCCCCAACAGCCCTGAGCACAGTGATTTGTACGTATTAAGAACTCCATATAAGTGGCTAGTGGGTTATAGCTATTTTCCATCCCTCTCAACTTTGGGTTAATTTTGGTGTTGGAAATATCAGCTGCAACGACTTCTACGCATCTTCAGGGTCAGCTGCTGCTTTGATGGGCAGCCCTGGGCTTTAAAGTCTTGGCGGGAAGGGTCAGTCCTACTAGTTGGGGGTGGAGCCTCCTTGCCAGGAACCTCCCAAACCAGAGGAGCCGCTTCCCAACTACCTATCATCACGGGACTCAGACTAAATTCATGTTCAGCTTCCCCTGCTCTAGCTGTGTGTGCTTGGGCAAGCTGCTTGATCTCTCTGAGCCTCTGTTTCCTCCCTGAGGATTAAGTGAACTCATGCAGTAAAAGGTCAGGTTGAGGGAGGCACTACCTTGCCTTACTAGCTAGTATTTGTGCGTAGGGAAGGGAAGGGAGTCGGGGAGGGGAGGAGCCCCTCAGGGTGGAGAAGCGTTCAAAAGGTGGAAGGGGGTTCCGAGAGGAGGGACTCGGGCCTTGTCAGGCGGGACACCGTGACTTTGGAAGAGATGTATTGTTAGAGAAGCCAGTGTGGTCCCAGGAGGCAACTCCGCAGGCTGCAGTGGCGGGAGGGTAGTGGGCTGCTCCCATCCGTTTTCCTGCAGGCTGCTGGCCCCTGGCAGCGTCCTGCGGCCCGGCCTTTGTTGAATGACTGGGAGGCACTCGGACAGGCAGCTTCTTCTGTGTCTCTTTAATATCCTCCAGGCCCGTCCAACCTGCCGGTCTCCCTCCCCCGCCTCCCGCCGCCTTTAAGGGTGGGCTCCCTCCCCCAGCCCAAGGACTAAGGCACCAGGTGGCTGCAGCAGGCCGGCCCGGACACAGAGACGCACAGGTGGGGGACGCCGCCTGCCGACCCGGACGAGCAGGGCGGGCGCGGGAGGCAGGGTTCAGGCCGCCTCGGGGCTCCCCCAGGCTCTGGGCCCGTCCTGGGGGGGCGTGGAAGGCGCAGACAGCCCCCCAAGGCAGCCAGTCGGGAGGAAGTGGGGAGTCGCGGCGGGACTGCATCCTCACTTGCCGCCCTTGCGGGACAGACACCGCGGGAGGCAAGAGAAAGTCTGCTTGACGCGCGCCAGCAGCGGCAGCGGCCGGTGAGCTTCCCCGGGCGAGCGCGGCACCAGGCGCTGCAGGGTTCCCTCGGAGGCGGCGGCGTGCGGCCCGGCGGAGGCGGTCGAGGTCGCCGAGCCCTGCCGGCAGCGCCTGCACAGCGGCAGCAGCGCGCGCAGCTCCTCCTCGTCGCGGAAAGGGCTCTCCCCGAAGCGCTCCTCCAGCTGCCGGCGGAGCTGCGGTGGGCAGGTGGGGCGGGGGGGGGTCATGGCCGGTCGCCCGGCGGGGTCACGGCAGCCAGCCCCGCCCCACCCTCCCGACCTTCGCCCTCCTCCGAGCGTCCCGCGCCTCGCTGAGCCCCTCCCTTTCTGAGCGCCTTCTTTGCTTCCCTTTAACCGGATTCCATCCTCCTCACCGAGTCCCTCTTCCCTCTCCCTGGCCCTCCCTTCCCGCTTTGACACTCCAGCTTCCAGACCTGCCAAAGTGACCCCCAGGAGCCCAACGGGGATCATTCCTCCCGCTTTGTACCTCTGTGTTCACAACCCCATTCCCACAGGGCTCTTCCTTGCCCGATTCTTTCCCAAAGCCGTCCTGCAGATAAGCCTCTGGGTAGCACCCTCCACCTGCTGAGAGCCCTCCCCCTCTCATCCTTCGTTCCCCAGGAGGCCTCAGTTCCTGACATTTCTACAGGGCATCTGCCCCAGGGGTGCTGTGGTCTCTTCAGGGACGCAGGGGTGGAGTAGGACATGGACAGTTCTTCCGGATGGGGTCAAACACTCAAATCCTTCAGGTTCCAGCCAGGTAGGGTAGGCGTGGGGAGGGCTGGAAGACCTGGTCAAATGAAAGGGCCCGCACTGATCTAAAGGCATTCAAATTCCAAGTTGAAAAGGAAAACACCTGGCTGTCAAACAAAATACACCTAGGAGCTGGATTGGCTCAAAGGCTATGAGTTTAAGATCCTAGAAAAATCTGCCGGGTCTGAGGCACAGGCTAAATTCATTCCAATCAGTGATCAGTTCGAGTGTGAAGAAGGATCTCCTCCCCCTGGCCCAACCCAGCCCTTGACCCCATCCCTACCTTCCGGGAACTGCCCCAGCCGAACTCTTCAAGCTGTTGCCTAAAGCCTGGGTTGGGGTTGGCGATGGGCCGGGTGGCTTTGATGGCTTCAAGTACGTCCCGCCAGCCTAGCCCCGTCACAGTCATCACATACGCGGTCACAATCGTGGTGCTGCGAGAGATACCTGCAAAGCTGGAATCCCGACAACACTTCAGGCTTCAAGTAAGATCCAGTGTCCTCCATGACCCCCAGGCACCCCACCCCTGCTTCAGCTCTCCCGTGCTTGCCTCCTGAGCTCCAACCATAACACACCTGTCAGGACCTGCCATCCCACCTCCAGGCCTTTGCCACCCTGTTCCCTCTGCCTAGAGCATCCCCTGGGTTCTCCCACTTCAAAGGCCTGAGTGAAACACCATTCATTCAGTCAGCAAATATTTCCTGATCATCGGTTCTTTTTCAGGCACTGGGGATGTATCGGGTATAAAACAGACATGGTCTGTGCTGTCCTGGAGCTTACAGCATGGTTGGGGGACAGACATTGACCAGAGAAACAATTCCAGGTGGTGACAATAGCTTTGAGGATGAGTCTAGGGGTTAGGAGATCCGCATAAGAGGTATTAATCTATAGGTGGGTGGGGTTAGGGAAGGGGTTCCCAAGGAATAGACATCAACAAAGTTTGAAAGATGGATAAGGGCTAGTCAGGAACCTTCTAGGCAGTGTGTATAAAGACCATGAGGGCCGGGCGCGGTGGCTCAAGCCTGTAATCCCAGCATTTTGGGAGGCCGAGGCGGGTGGATCACGAGGTCAAGAGATCGAGACCATCCTGGTCAACATGGTGAAACCCCGAGTCTACTAAAAATACAAAAAATTAGCTGGGCATGGTGGCACGTGCCTGTAATCCCAGCTACTCAGGAGGCTGAGGCAGGAGAATTGCCTGAACCCAGGAGGCGGAGGTTGCGATGAGCCGAGATCGCGCCATTGCACTCCAGCCTGGGTAACAAGAGCGAAACTCCGTCTCAAAAAAAAA